CCAAAAAAAAGCCCTGGCACAGATGGTTTCACTGGAGAATTCTACCAAACTTTCAGAGAAGAGTTAACACCACTACTACTAAAGGTATTTCAGAGTACAGAAAAAGATGGAATACTCCCCAGCTCATTCTATGAAGCCAGCATAACCCTGATACCAAAACCAGTTAAAGACACCACAAAAAAAGAAGATTACAGACCAATGTCCCTCATGAAAATTGACACAAAAATCCTCAACAAAATTCTAGCCAATAGAATTCAGCAACATATCAAACAAAAAATTTTCACCATGGCCAAGTGGGATTCATACCAGGTATGCAGGGGTGGTTCAGCATTAGAAAAACAATCTATGTAATCCATCACATAAATAAAACAAAAGACAAGAACCACATGATCCCATCAATTGGTGCAGAAAAGGCATTTGACAAAGTCCAACAACGGTTCATGGTAAAAACTCTCAGCAAAATAGGAATAGAAGGGAAATTCCTCAACATAATAAAGGGCATTTATACAAAGCCAATGGCCAACATCATCCTAAATGCAGAGAGTCTGAAAGCATTCCCCCTGAGATCAGGAACCAGACAAGGATGCCTTTTATCACCACTCTTAGTCAACATTGTGCTGGAGGTCCTAGCCAGAGTAGTTAGGCTAGAAGAAGAAAGAAAGGGTATCCAAATTGGTAAGGAAGAAGTAAAAGTATCTCTGTTTGCAAATGATATGATCTTATACACAGAAAACCCCAAAGAATCCACAGGAAAACTACTGGAAGTAATAGAAGATTTTAGCAAAGTATCAGGATACAAGATAAACATACAAAAATCAGTTGGATTCCTCTACACTAATAAAGAGAAATTTGCAGAGGAAATCACCAAATCAATACCATTTACAGTAGCCCCCAAGAAGATAAAATACTTAGGAATAAATCTAACCAGAGATGTAAAAGACCTATACAAAGAACACTACAAAACACTACTGCAAGAAACCGAAAGAGACCTGCATAAGTGGAAAAACATACCTTTTTCATGGATAGGAAGACTCAACATTGTGAAAATGTCAATTCTACCCAAAGCAATCTACAGATACAATGCAATCCATATCCAAATTCCAACCGTATTTTTTAAGTAGATGGAGAAACAAATCACCAACTTCATGTGGAAAGGGAAGAGGTCCTGGATAAGTAAAGCATTACTGAAGAAGAAGAACAAAGTGAGAGTCCTCACACTACCTGATTTTAGAACCTATTATATCACCACGGTACTCAAAACAACCTAGTACTGGGACAACAACAAATACATAGACCAATGGAACAGAATTGAGAATCCAGATGTAAATTCATCCACCTGTGAGCAGCTGATATTTGACAAAGGTCCAAAGTCTGTTAAATGGGGAAAAGACAGTCTGTTTAACAAATGGTGCCAGCTTAACTGGATATCCATATGCAAAAAATTGGAACAAGACCCATAATACATGGCATAAATGGAATACAAATCTTAAGTAACAATGCACAAGCACCAGAAGAGAAACCAGATAACTGGGAGCTCCTAAAAATCAAATACTTATGCTCATCAAAAGACTTCACCAAACGAGTAAAAAGACAACCTACAGACTGGGAAAAAATTTTTGCCTAGGACAAATCTGATTAGTGTCTAATCGCTAAAATCTACAAGTTACTGCAAAACCTCAACAACAAAAAGACAAATAACCAAATTAAAAAATGGGCAAAGGATATGAACAGGCACTTCACTAAAGAAGACATTCATGTGGCTCACAGACACATGAGGAAATGCTCATGATCATTAGCCATTAGAGAAATGCAAATCAAAACTACAGTGAGGTACCATCTCACCCCAACAAGGCTAGCATTAATCCAAAATCACAAAATGATAAATGTTGGAGAGGTTGTGGAGGGACTGGAACACTTATATGTTGTTGGTAGGAATGTAAAATGGTACAACCACTTTGGAAATTGATTTGGCGTGTCTTTAAAAAGCTAGAAATAAAAGTAGCATACAATCCAGCAATCCCACTCCTTTGAGTATATCCTAGAGAAATAAGAGCTGTCATATGAATAGATATGTGCACACCCATGTTCATTGCAGCACTGTTCACAATAGAAAAAGGTGGAAACCACCTAGGTGCCCATCTACAGACGAATGGATAAACAAATTATGGTATATTCACACAATGGAATACTACGCAACGATAAAGAATAACAATGAATCCGTGAAACAACATGAAGGAATCTGGAAGGCGTTACACTGAGTGAAATTAGTCTATCACAAAAGGACAAATATTGAATAAGACTACTATTATAAGAACTCAAGAAAAGGTTTAAACACAGAAGAAAACATTCTTTGATGGTTACGAAGGTGGGGAAGGAGGGAGAGGGGTATTCACTAACTAGAATTATCTCATTCACTAACAAGAATTCTTAGGTGAAGGGGACAACACACATTACAGGGCAAGTCAGCACAACTGGACTAAACCAAAAGCTAAAGTTTCCTGAATATAACCAAACACTTCAAGGGACAGAGTAGCAGGGGCAGAGGTCTGGGGACCATGGTTTCAGGGGACATCTGGGTCAATTGGCATAACAAAGTTTATTAAGAAAATGTTCTGCATTCCACTTTGGTGAGTGGCATCTGGGGTCTCAAAAGCTAGTGAGCTGCCATTGAAGATGCATCAATTGGTCCCAACCCACCTGGAGCAAAGGAAAATGAACACCAAAGACACAAGGAAAGTAGTAGCCAAGAGACAGGGCCACATAAACCAGAGACTTCATAAGCCTGAGAGCAGAAGAACTAGATGGTGCCCAGCTACCACCGATGACCACCCTGACAGGGAACACAACAGAGAGTCCCTGATGGAGCAGGAGAAAAGTGGGGTGCACAACTCAAATTCTAGTGAAAAGACCAGAGTTAATGATTTGACTGAGGCTGGAGGAACCCTGGAAGACATGGCTCCTGGACTCTGTTAGCCTAAAACTAAAACCATTCCCAAAACCAACTCTTCAGACAAAGATTTAGACTGGGCTATAAGACATAAAATGATACTCGTGAAGAGTGTGCTTCTTAGTTCAAGTAGATACATGAGTCTGAATGGGCAGCTCCTGTCCAGAGGTGAGATGAGAAGGCAGAAAGGGACAGGAGCTTGTTGAATGGACACGGGAAATCTGGGGTGGAAAGGAGGAGTGTGCTGTCACAGTATGGGGAATGCAACTAGGGTCACACAGCAGTGTGTATATAAAGTTTTGTATGAGAAACTGACTTGAACTGTAAACTTTAATTTAAAGCACAATAAAAAAAAAAAAAAAACCTGAAAAAGAGTAAACTAAACTGAAAGCAAGCAGAAGGAAAGAGATAATAAAGATTACGGTGGAAAGTAATGAAAAAAAAAAAAAAAAAGCAACAGAGAAAATCCATGAAGCCAAAAGTTGGTTTTTTGAAAAGATCAACACAATTGAGAAAGCTTTACCTAGACTAACCAAAGGAAAAAAGAAGACTCAAATTACTAGATTACTAAAGTCAGAAATGAAAGAGGGGACATTACTCCTGACCTTAGAGAAAGAAAGGATTATTAAGAGAGAGAGAGAAAAAAAAAAAGTATGTATTCTCTTTATGTCTACTGTGTACTTGATATCTATACATTTCCTATTATAACATTCCTATATCTTTAATTTTTTTTATTCCCTTGATTTTTAAAAAGAAATCTTTTGCGTAAGTGTAGATAAAGAACATTAAATAATATTAACAGTATTTTATTTGTATAATGCGTAACATTTCCAAAACTCTTTCATGTACTATGAGGAAAAATGAGAAATAAGAAAAGGGTACTGGATCTAGAAATCAAGAGACCAGAATGAATGCCACTTCCAGCCCTGTCACTAATGGGCTGTAGAGTAAATGCAGCATAGTCCCTCAGTGACTGTGGTCTGGAACTTTATCTGAGTTTCTTAGATGCCCTTTAAGCCCTTGATTACCGAATTGAGCACTGTGAGTATGTTAGTAATCACTTGAAGAGAAATTGGAACATTGATTTTTATCTTCTTCACATTTCTATCACTTAGACTTCTGCCAAGGGAAAAGGCAGGGTTCAAAGTAGTACAGTATTCCAACCCTGTTGGTTCACTTAAGTAATCTAACTTTTGGTTAATGTTTCACCAAGTAATTTTATATTGCTAAATGGAACTAGACTGGCAATTGCAAGAGAGTCAAAAGAGCAAGTATGACACTGAGAACAGGAATGGGAGCACCTTGACTACTATCGACCAGAATCAATGTGGGCTCGGTAGTCTTTTGATAAAGGCCTCATCACAGCATCTTTTTAATGTCAGTTCTAAAATTTTAGTGACAACTTTCTAATAAAGGATAATTTTATGTATGGATATTGAGATTGATAAATACAACATTTCATGACTGGTTTTTGTGTATAAAATTCTGAATTCTAGAATAATCAGAAATCCTCAAATACACAGACTGGCTTGGTTTTTAACTAGATTGCCAACTGTCTGCTAGGGATTAGCCAGCTTTTTCTGTAAAGGTTCAGATAGTAAATATTTAGGCTTTGAGAACCATACAGTCTCTGTGACAGCTACTCAGTTCTGTTGTAGAGCAAAAGCAGATGAGTGGCTGTATTCCAATAAAACTTTATTTACAAAAAAAGCAGGTCAGGGACCAGATTTGGCCCACAGGCTGTAATTTGCTGATCCTTGGTCTGCAGTCCTAGAGCAAGAGTGAATGTAATTTCATTAAATTAATACTTATTAGAGATGGTTTAGTTAGAGCTAGGCAAAAATATTTCATGACAGTGATTTAGAACTGCCCCTTTGGCATATATCTTATTCTCCTTGAGGTTACTTTTAACAGATTTAATGTTAATTATAGTCTTTAAAATTGCTTTAACTTTTTAATATACAAAAAGACTTTAATAAAGTTTATGATCCTTACCTTGATATTCTAATAGCACTAGTGAAGGTCTCATATTGGATTTCTGTGTGTTTTACAGATACTTGACTGGATTTTTACATACATGTTTCCTGTCTTCCTTCAAAACTGATGGCAAGAGAGCATTTTAGCTGCTTGAGTTACTTAAAACCGAAAGGATTACAGTGGAACATTCATCTTTAGGGTTTATTTTCACTACTATCCAGAGCCAAATGATTTCCATTTGATTCTAACAATAACTGACCAAAAAATCGGTATGATGGAGCTAATAGTTACATGGATAAGGATTATGGTTCTTAAAGTGTATTCCCCTATTTATTAATAAATTAGGAGTAGATCTGTTCATTTTAGTATTTATAGGTACCCTGTATTTGTCAGGCATTGTGTTAAGCATAAGTAAATCAAGATGAATAAAACTTTTTTCCTTGAATCTAATGCAGTGGAGGAGATACACACTTCTACAACTTTAATTTCAGTAGCAGTAGAAGAGTACGGAGAAGGAAGGCTTAATTCTATCTAGAAGTCAGGATAGAGAATGTATCACAGAGAAAATGACATTTGATATGGGCCCAAAAGATATACAGGCTTCTGACAAGTGTAGAACAACCATAACAGGTAGAGGGAATACCATGAAGTAGGGCATGAAACTGTGGAAGTGCAAAACATGTTCTAGAGAGAGAAGGGTGTGGGCAGGAGTTAGTACTGGAAAGACAGTTTGGAAACAGATTAGTAAGGGTCTCAAATGCCATGTCTAAGATTTTGGGATTTATTTTCCAAGCAACGGGCAGGAGTGTTTTTATTTCCTTGGCATCATATTTAACAGGATGGATTCCAATTGTGAGAGACCAAAGCAGAATGACTAGTTAAGAGGTGGTCACAATACTTCAGACAAGAAGTACTGAAGCCTCAATGAAGGCAGTGGAAAGTGAAATGGAGAAGAGAGTGGATGGATAAGAGACAGCTTTCCGAGATGAAATCAATAGATCCTGTTAACAGATGATGGAGCTGGAAGGTGAGGAAGCATGGAGAAGCCGTTTTCATTTTTCTGCGTGGCTAACTACCAAGAGTTGCAACAAAAGCAAGGAGGAGGTTTGGGACAAGGGAAAAGGATAATGAGTTTGACTTTAGACAGATAGAAGTGATTCCAGGTGGAAATACTTGATCGACAGTTAGAAATACAGATTTAGGAGGGAGCTGGGGACTAAGACCCAGATCTAGAAGTCTGCTGTGCAGAGATGATGCCTGAGTCTTTTGGAAAGAGCTGAATCATCTGGGCAGAGCAAGAGAGTGAGAAAGGCGGTCCCAGGGTGAAACCCCATATAACATCAGCATTTCAAGAACAAGGAGCTGAACCAGTAAAAAAGATTAACCATAGAAAAATTCATCCATTGCTGTCAAGTCAATTCTGACTCATAGTGACCCTATTGGACAGGGTAGAACTGCCCTGTGGGGTTTCCAAAGAGCAGCTGGTAGATTCGAACTGCTGACCTTTTGGTTAGCAGGCAGGCTCTTAACCACTGTACCACCAGGGCTCTTAACCACAGAAGTAGGAAAAAAAAAAAAAGTGTATTGTGGTGTTGAAGAAGCCAGCATAAGTGTGGGAGGTACTCAAAAAGAAGTCTTCAGAGATTGATAAAGTGAGCTCTGAGAAGAAACCAGTGGGTTAGTCATTATGAAGCTGCTCTAGAGGCAGCGGTGGCTGGGTCAGATTTCAGTGCATTGAGGAATCAGCTCTTCTTTGACAGTGTTTGCTAGAGAAGATAAAGAGCACCCGCTGTACATGAAGGAAGGGTGTTTTTTGGTGTGTGGTTTTGAGTATGTAGGCTGAAGAGAGAAGGTAAGCTGTTTTATATATTTGGGGAAAAAAATCAGTGGTATATATGGTATATATTTTTTAGTAGGAGTTACTGCCAGAGTATGTCTTAAAAAGATTTTTTATTTCATACATATATTTCTTATGTGTATATCCAGTAGAATTAACGACGAACAACATTTGTTTGGTATTTACAAAGGACTTTCACATACGTTACTTCAATTTACCTTATAAAACAAACAAAAAAGCCACTGTCGAGTAGACTCCAACTCATGGCAACCCCATGTGTGTCAGAGCAGGGTTTTCAACTGCTGATTTTGCAGGGTTTTCAACTGCTGATTTTTCAGAAGTAGATAACCAGGCCTTTCTTCCAAGGCACCACTGGATGGACTCGAACTTCCAACCTTTTGGTTAGTAGCCAAGTGCGTTAATGGTTTGCACCACCCAGGGACTCCCATTTTACCTTAACAACTACTATAAAATAGGTAGGTCAAGTGTTAATCCTTTTATTCGGATGAGAAGACTGAGCCTCACTGAGTTGGAGGTCAAAATGACATAATTAGTGGTGGAGTAAGATTTGAGCCCACATCTTGTGACTACAAATTTCATTTCAGATTTTACAATTAATCAAAGCTATCTAAATTAAACTTTTGTTTTCTACTTATTAACATAATTTATTCATACATTCCGTCAAAATTGCGTTGAGGTATTGGGATAGTTTAAAAAAAAAAAGTTGTAGCCCACAAGATGTTTAATATCCAGTGAAAGGTAACAGTCCATAAACCAGCAATGTCAGTTCTGTGATAATGTGTTGTGAGGTTGCCACAACCTGATAACTTGTTTAGTTTAATTCTTCTATGCAGCCCATAGCCTAGAGTGAAATTTAAATAAAAGACCTCATTTCTTTCAATTCAGTGATGGCATTAAACACAAAGCATAAGATAGAAATTTCAAGCTTGTGGAAAATACTTTTTTGTTTAAAAATACATTAAAGAATAATTTCAAACACTGAAGAAAGTTGATAATTTTCCAGTTCTTCCTGTGCTTTAAGTTCACAAGTTTACAGAGTATTAGACAGCCATATTTTACTTTATGTACCAAAACATTCCAAAACCAAATAAAAATTATTTTCAACTATCTCTGACTTTGGGTTTTCTGTGCCTAAGAATATAATGAAAAGTTGTCTCCTCGTTGTTTTAGTACTAAGTGAAAAGTACTGATGCAGTAATTCAGAAACAGAACTACTAGGTTATTAAATACTTACTATACCTTAAAGAACGAACAAATCGGTCTTGTAAGAAGTACAGCCAGGATGCCCCTTAGAAGCATGGATGGCAAGACTATATCTCAAATACTTTGGACATATTATCAGGAGGTATCCATCCCTGGAGAAGGACATCATGTTTGATAAAGTAGAGGGTCAGCGAAAAAGAGGAAGACCCTCAATGAGATGGATTGACACAGTGGCTGCAACAGCGGGCTCAAACATAGCAATGAATGTGAGGATGGCGCAGGACCTGGCAGTGTTTCGTTCTGTTGTACACAAGGTCACTGAGTGGAGATTGATTCAACGGCACCTAACAACAACAACAACATAACTTAGTGCTTCTACAGGATCTCTGTCACTTTCAAGCATTTGTATATAGGTTTCTAGAACTTTTGGGATGCAACAACAGTAATGATTTTTTAGTAACTTAGTGTTTTTTTTGTTTGTTTTTTATCTAAGCACTGCTACTAACTGCACGAAAGGTTGCCATTCTGAAGAGGAGTTAACTTTGTAAATCAAATGAGAGTTCATGATGTGATTTTTTGGGAAGTACTAATTATCACATTAAAATGTATTAGGCCATTTATCTAATCGTAATTTTAAATTGTGAGGAATAGCATCCCAAAACAAAGAAAACAAACCCATTGCTGCCGAGTCCAATTACCAGTGCTTTATAAAACAAACACGAGAAAACGATGTTAACACTAGGAGTCGGTATTTCTACAAGGGATTCTACTCTATTTCTTAGTGTAAATTGGAACTAATCCTAATCTCTCTTTTTACCTGTACCAAAAAAAAAAAAAAAGAAAAGAAAAAGATGACAGAGTAAATGAAAGTATTGTTTCTACTTTAGCTGCGAAGTATTGTGGTTCAAGTAGACAAAAGCATTTAGGAACCCTCATAGCAACCTCAGTCTCTCCCTTACTGAATCTCCAGTAACTGCTTTTCTGTTAGTAGATTCTTTGAGAAAACCCAGAAGCTCATTCTGTGTCACATGACAAAAAACATAAATAATACCCATGACTTCAGGAGCTGGAAGATAAGATGACAGTGATATATGAGTTACATCATTATAGTGGGATTGGCTATTTGTTTTCACTTGGTTCTTCTAGAGTTATACTTGGTTCAGTTATCTGTGTGTATGTGTGTGTATCTGTGCATGGATCAGTGTGTGTGTGTTGAGTGGCAAACAAGAAATGTGTGTTTGTTAAGTATGATATATAACCACTTTGCCCTAATGTAAATTCACACAAAACACACATTGAGGTGCAGTAAAGAATGGGAAGTATGGTCTGTGTGCTTACTGAATGTGTTTATGGGAGCCTTAGTCTAAGGCATGTACATTTGTGCTTTTGAGTTTTTATTTGTAATTTCAAGTCCCTGAGTGTTGCAAATGATTATCGTGCTCACCTGCTAACTGAAAGGTTGGAGATTCCAGTCCACCCAGAAGCATCTCAGAAGAAATGCCTGGAGATCTACTTCCAAAAAATTAACCATTGAAAACCCCATGGAGCACAGTTCTACTCTGACACACATGAGACCGTCACGAGTGGAACTTTGACTTGACGACAACTGTTCTTTTTGTTTGTTTTTGTAATTTCAAATATGAGGCAACTGCTCTAAGTTATGCATTGTTCTGTGCTAGATCACTGCTTAATGGAGGAAAAGAAATATGCCAGTGCTGCTTTTCTCTGGATTAACACATTTAATTTGGATTCATGGTGATTACATGTTAACTGTGTGGAGACAAACTTCATATTCTCGCTAGATGCATCTTCTTTGCAGTGAAAGAAATGCTTCTATCACATTCCCTGTGTCCTAGTGCCAAGTACTTGAGGTGAACTTTGTCTTTTCTGTATCTGGAGCAGACTTTTTGTGTTCTCTGTCTCAACTGCTGCAGACATTCAGGTGATCATCTCTCACCAGATGATTACAACAGTCTTTATTCTAGTCTTCTAATGTTTCTTTATTGAGTCTTTTTCTTATACTTCCATTATTGATTATTCCAAAATACGAATCAGGCCATATTACATACCCCAAAATTATTTGATGGCTTTCCCGTTGCCACCAAGATAAAGCTCCACACGCTACAGTTTATAAGTGCTGTCATGATCATGCCCCAGCTGACCTCTTCAACTCCCACACTCCCCATCCTACACCATATGCTCTAGCCAATCTATACTTCTTCATTTTCTACAACTTGCCATTGAGCAAGTTCAGACCACAGAGATTAGTTTATGTTCCAAGACTGAACAGAAGTCAATGCTGATTCAAGGTTACTGCCACTTAGACTTTCTGCTATATCAGCAGACAAGCAGCACCAAGGATACATATGATATAAACATCTAAGTGAGTGGATAAAGCACTCCACTTTCTCCCTAGTTCCTCACAAAGATATGCCCAAAATTCAGTTGTCAGTACAGTACATACACAGTAAGCAGTATGCCAGGTCATACATAGAAGCACAGTATCTTTTGTTACATTAGACACTGTCTTAGTTATCCACTGCTGCTATAACAGAAATACCACAAGTGGATGACTTTAATAAAGAGAAATTTATTCTCTCACAGTGTAGGAGGATAGAAGTCTGAATTTAGGGTGCCAGCTCCAGGGGAAGGCTTTCTATCTTCTGTCATCTTTGGAGAAAGGTCCTTGTCATCAATCTTCCCTGGTTGAGGAGCTTCTCAGCACAGGGACCCCAGGTCCAAAGGATGCGCTGTTCTCCTGGCTCTTATTTCTTGGTGGTATGAGGTCCCCCTGTCTCTCTGCTCGCTTCTCTCTTTTATGTCTCAAAAGAGATTGACTTAAAACACAATCTAATCTTGTAGATTGAGTCCTGCCCCTTTAACATAACTGCTATAATCCCATCTCATTAACATCACAGAGGTAGAGGTAGGATTTACAACACATCACATCAGAAGACAAAATGGTGGACAATCAAACATTACTGGGAATTATGGCCTAGCCAAGTTGACACATATTTTTGGGGGACACAATTCAATCCATGACAGGCACACATTAGAGTGAGGGGCCATGTTAATATTCAAGAATCTACCTTCTATATAAGGAAAGCTTTGTTTTATCTACAAATGTGAACTTTTTATTTTTCTGTGTCACCCGGGTCCACAGCATGTCTCACCATGATCTTCCATAGCCACGTTGTTTCTTGTCTGCTGGCTTTGTACCTATTGCTGGCGTGGTATGCACAGAAATTCTCAACTTGAATAACTCTTAACCATCCTTTAAGACTCAGATCAGGAGTTACTTCTTCCAGAACACTTTCCTTGGTTGTTTACCTAAATAGCATCCTGCGCTTCATTTTTTATAATCATTAGTGTACTAATTTTTAAATGTTGGTCTGTTTACTTGTCTATTGATAAATGTAAGCTCACTGTCTTGCATATATCCATATTTTGTACCTAGCAAAGATACTATCAGAGCCCTGGTGGCGCAGTGGTTAAGCATTCAGCTGCTAACCAAAAAACCTGTTGTCGTCAAGTCGATTCCTACGGATAGCGACCCTATAGGACAGAGTAGAACTGCCCCCATAGAGTTTCCAAGGAGCACCTGGTGGATTCAAACTGCTGACTCTTTGGTTGGCAGCTGTAGCACTTAACCACTACACCACCAGGGTTTCCTGCTAACCAAAAGGTCGGCAGGTATTATCACATTGTAGTCATCTAATATTTCTAGAAAGAAGAAAATGAGGGAGGAAGAGAAAGAGGGAAAGGAATATTTTAATGATCGAATTAGAGGTCTGGGAACATAAAGATCATAAACCATCTGAGTGTGTGTATGTGTGTGTGTTGTCAGTTTTCACCAGGTACTTTTATATCTTCAATGTTTAGTTGAATTTATTTAAATCATAATTGTGTATCAATGTCTAAGGATAGAACGTTTGTAATGGAGACGATCTGTTTTAAGGCATTTGGCCAAGTCGTTAGATTTTCCTGCTTCCAACTCGTGTAGGAATTTAAAC